ATAGAGGCTAATTTTTACGCAATAGGTAATTACACGTATTAAGCGTAACACATACTTATAAACAATAGCAAAGTACAATGTTATTATAAACACAGCTTTGTATGATTACCTATTTCACGTATTCGTCAAAATTAAGATCCGATTTTGATTAGCATTTAGATGAAATCGACAAATCCATTACGTATTTCATGACACAGAGGCTAATTTTTGCCAAATATCTTTACGTAATAGGCAATTACACGTATTAAGCGTAACACATAGTTACAAACAATAGCAAAGTACAACGTTATTATAAACACAGCTTTGTATGATTACCTATTTCACGTATTCGTCAAAATTAAGATCCGATTTTGATTAGCATTTAGATGAAATCGACAAATCCATTACGTATTTCATGAAACAGAGGCTAATTTTTGCCAAATATCTTTACGTAATAGGCAATTACACGTATTAAGCGTAACACATAGTTACAAACAATAGCAAAGTACAATGTTATTATAAACACAGCTTTGTTGATTACCTATTTCACGTATTCGTCAAAATTAAGATCCGATTTTGATTAGCATTTAGATGAAATCGACAAATCCATTACGTATTTCATGAAACAGAGGCTAATTTTTGCCAAATATCTTTACGTAATAGGCAATTACACGTATTAAGCGTAACACATACTTACAAACAATAGCAAAGTACAACGTTATTATAAACACAGCTTTCTTCAAATGGTTTATAATCGTTGATTGTTTTCTAAGTTTTGATCAGGTTTACTGAGTTATTTAACTTGTATGATTGCCTGTTTCACGTATTCGTCAAAATTATATTGCCTAGTACATGTATTAAGACACGATTTTGATTAGTACTGACATGAAATCGGAAAGTCCATTACGTATTTCATCAAATTGATTTTTTTTAACTGCTTTTTTGGTTACATCTTGTATATAACCGATTTTCGGATAACATCAATATCAGGCAAGAACGTGCTACTGTACGGTTTCGGAATTTGAGGCAATTATTTCGCTCACCAGACAGGCTATATTAGCCTCATGGAATGCAATTAGAGTACTCATTTACTCACGAAGTTTCAACCCCCTTTCTATTTCCATGCTGCTGTTACTGTTTTCGAAACTTTCATATAATAATCACGCCAACATCCGCCAATTGTACACACGCCGCAGTAACATATGCCAAAGCGTAAAAATTATAACTATTAACAGTCTTTCTTGTTCGTAATGGTTTATATTTATTGAGTAATAAAATTTAAGAATTGTGTTCTCGTGCAGGTACTTAATAATTATTATTTTGGCAGAAAGGGAAGACAAATTTAAAATTGGTACAAAACATGGCTCTGTTAATGGTTAGTTGGTTAGAAAGAAATTCTCTACAGACAACAAAATTTAAGAAGTTGAAATTAACTAACATTCCTGATTGTTTGTAGAAACTCATTAAGTTCTTGTTAAAGTTGCAAAAGATGCAATTGAACCAAAATATGCATATCAAAGTGTTCTTTTAAGGTTTATATTTTAGCAAACAAAAGAAAGAGCATGACTACGACAACACCCCTTCGTTAGTGCTGCCTTTTCCAACCGTAATTTAACCCAACTTTATTGCTTAGGTTACAGTAGGAAAAGACAACACTCAAAACAATCTACTGCGTATTCTGATGTTTCTCAGACTGTAACATAATTAAAAAAAATCTAAAATTTCTTAGTCAGTAGGGGGGGGGGGTAGGTTGAACCCTAACCCCCTGAGGTTAAGTCATTGTTTAGGTATAATATGTTTAATTATCGCGGTCGGTAACTTTTGTTTATCTGTGAACACCCTGTAGCTACGTAATAGAAAATACGAGAGGTAAAAGTTGTTAACTAATTTAGTGTTGAAAGTTAGTAAGTATTGTATTATTGCAAATAAATCATACTCGGCTACATAAATTAAAAAATGCAAGATTCGAAGTTGTTGACACAATAAATGAGATAAAAATAACCGATTTATTTTAATGCTGTCGTGCTAGCGCTTGCGTCGACCAAGCACTAACAAAGTTTTATTACATGACATATATCGTGCAAAGTTTTGTACTTTGCGTGCACTTTTATAAAAGTTTATTCGGCTTTAAAAAAGTTAACGGGTCCCCAATTCTCCACTTCCCCTTTTCAAAAGAACTTTACTCCGCTATTCACCATCAAGCTTTCACGAAATACACAACTTCCTAAGTTTTAAGTTGGCCGAGAAACACGACGTCGTTGTTTGCACGGCCGTCGCGATATTGTTATGTACCATCAACCACCGTAATTAAAACCACGTAGTCGAAATGTAACAATCGGAAGGTGTCAAGTGTTATAGGGTAAATTAATAACGTTAATTTTTTTTAACCTCTTCGTTGCCGTGAGGTCATTTTGGAAGAAGCGAAATCTAAATAAAGTAAGTGAAAGAACAACATAAGCAAACTGAGATTATTGATTTTTGTGCCGGCTGCGCAACAGACGCTTTTATAACAACTAATGTAAGTACTTCCATATTGGATCATGCTCGTCAGAGTTTTAGGACGAAAACTTTTTTGTACGTGTTTATAGTCGATTTTCTTTGAATGCCCTTTATGCCGGAAAAAGTAAACTAAGTTGCGAATGATTATGTGACGGTTGAAAAGCATCATTATTGTAAACGCTGAGTTTATTCAAAGGTCAGTTAAAGTTTGCGAATGGTTTTGTTCAGAAACGAGCATGCTTTTAGTTGTTTTCAAAGTGATAGGTTAGGTTGTAGTTTTAAAGTCTTGCGTATTTGAAAAGTTATTAAAGAGAAGAGGTAGCCTGTAATACCTGTGTCAAGTATGGATTTATTGTTTTAGGAACTTGCAACGAGACGAAATAAAGACTGAGATTGAATGTTTGAAAACATTAATAAAAAAAAAATCNTCAATAATTTTTAATATTTATGTTGTTTTTGATAATGTACCTTTTGTTTTACTTATTTAAAGTTAAATTTGAATTTTTACTGTAGTTTATCTTTACAGTTTATTTATGTATATATTTTTTGCAGTTGAAGTAAAGCCCCATAGTCTCCAATCCGCCTGCCGTACTGTTATTCGAAACGTTCTGCGTAAAAACATCGAAACAGAGAATCCTTCATTTAAAAATCGATTGCCACCAAAGCCTAAGAAAGCACCGAAGAAGAAACGACCTGTGAGAGGATTGGTGGTGCCCTTTTTTGATACATCTGATGACAGTGATGATGAGTTTTACGAATCCCCAAGGGTGGTGGTTAACGCAGATAGTCCAGCATCTCGTGCATCAAACGAACGAGAACTTCGAGTTTCACCAGAATATAACACTGTTATAAACATTCTCGCAAGGACAGGTTGCTTTGGTAATCCGGATGAAATACGTAACGTTCTTGAAGATGGTCGAGAAGAAAACGGAGAAAGACGAAGCGATAACGAACAGGAACGAAACGGGCATGAAGAAAAACGAAGTGATAATCATGGTAGAAGTGGCAGTCAAGAAAAAGCTAGTGGGAGTGAAGAAAAAATGGACGTAGAAGAGGAAGAACGTGGAAATGGTAAAGCTGCTAATGAAAAAGATAGAGGAGAACCGTCCAGACAAAGTCCGAAACGAAAACACTCCGAAAGTGACCAAAACAGTGTCCAATTGGAAGAAGAACAAAGACAACAACAGCAACAACATGAAGAACGCGATGACGAAGATGGACAAAACGGTTTCAATCAAATCAATGAGATCCGTAATGTAATCATAGGTGTTTTAGAAGGTATGCGTGAACGTGCTTCGTTATTGCACCAGGGAGCAAATAACGCGGAAGAAAGCGAAAACGACGAAGCACAAACTGATGGAAAAAAAGTGAACGACGGTAATAATGGCACCCCAGCAAATACACGAAAAAGTACGAAACGTGAAAAATTTGATAGTGGTTTAGGCGATGAGATTGTGGATAACAAGAATGGTAGCTCGTCTGATATATCGTCGGATGTATCATCGGATGTGTCGTCAGATACATCGGAGGCGGAAAAAGTCATGGAATCGTGCTCAAGTGGTGACGATGATGACGATGATGATGATAACGGAAGGCCAAAGAAACGTACCTTACCTCTTGCCATGGCCAAGAGTGGTGGAAAGTGGCGTAGAATAGACTTGCTGAGTAGTAGTGAAGACAATACCCAAGAAGAACATGAACGTGAAGGAGAAAACGATGGCAATACCGATCGACGAAATTGTAATTCAAATGAAATTCGCGTCGTTTCCAGCCCCTACACTTCTCTGATGAAGAATAAGATACAGTCTTTGCCCCTCCCCCAAATTCTGAAGAATTATTTAAACTTTTACAGGGAGTTTTAGTTTTTCGTCTGATATTGTTTATTCTGTATGTAAATAAAGACTTTATATTATGTTATTAAAAAGAACAGGCTTAATCCTTTAGAAAGACAATGAGATTTATTATCAGAATTAGTACTTATTAGATTCGTTACTACATAAATATTTTTTTTTGGCAATTTAACAATCTGAAGGTCCTGTCCCATCTATTTTCGTAAGTACAGGTCTCGTATTCTTCATGCAATTTACTACTACTGCCCGTTCTATTTATTGTATTTCTAAAGGCAATAATTCTGTGATGGCCGCTACGATTGGTTATGTTGTTATTTTTTCGAAACGAGTAATAAAAAAGGGAATTAAGGAAATTTTTGTTATATTATGTATAAAAGGAACTTTTTAGAACCTAAAACTCGTAGTTGTGTTTATTATTTGTAAAAAAATGCAGTACTATATTATACAACTAAAAAGAAAACAATAGGAAAAAAGAAGTGTTAACTTATTAGAAGACTACATTTTGCTTTCTATGCAGTTCAATCATTTTGTTATTTCGCCTCGTACTACCTAAATATTACCAACTGTCTTATCTGCATGCAAACATTTATTCTATTTCTGCAGAATGTATAAAATGAATAACATTGAAATATACTTTAATATACATAATTATCAAAAAGAAAATAATAAACGGATGTAAGCATCAGTGTATAATAATAGAGGACGATGAGGAAAGTGTATTTTTAAGTCTGTTGGGTGGAATTTTGTAAAAATTTGCCGTTTACTATGATTACATAATATTAACGTAATTTGTTGTTCCTTTAGATATTTAATTGAATTTATAACGATTTTTGTGACTAATGTTTAACATACCTAGCAGTAATTTGTATTACTATTGTTGATGAGATTTTTTAGTGGATTCTGGGAAACAACTTGTGTAAACAATAAATAAATAATTTACCAAATAGTAGGTTTATTATTTATCTAAACGTTTGTATTTTTATATTGTTTTCTCGTTAAATAAAGTTTGCATTATGTGAACAGCATATTCTAGACCACTGCATACCGTGAACAAATTAAACCTTCGCTTGTAGAAACGATTGTCCATTGGCCTTAAAATCAATATTTCGCCGTTGCTCTTGTGGGATTGCTGTGAATCTCGGAAATATGTATTTTGTACTTCCCCCAGTAGAATTAGTTGGAGTAGTAATCTACTGGACAGAGAGGGGCTGATCTTTGATGGTTATAAGAAGTCTATGAGAAAAAGTCAATTTATAAAAGAATTGTAAACTTTTTTTTAAGTACAATTATTTCTGTTATATTTTTGGCAGGAAACAGAAAATGATAATTCGTTACTGTTTTATATATATTTTTTGTTGTTATTTGTATGTATGCTTTCTTTTAGGTCTCTACTGTATGTTGATTATTTGGTTGCCTGTACTGACCACCAACATTTTATTTATTTCAATTTGTCAATTAAAAGTTTGGATAGTGCAAAGTGTAAGTGAAATTAATTTAAAAGTTGCGATTTTCCCTTTTATTNTCTTGTAAACCTTGAGCTCTATCGATTTTGAAAGAACAGATTGCACACAGAGTGCTTTTCCTAATGCTTTTCATAAAGTTTTCTTTTAATAAAAATAATAATTTATAACATTGTGTTTCTTTGTTTATTTGAAAAAACAGGTAAATTAATAATAAATTTACTTTTGTATTTAAGAAAATACAATTACATTGTCCTTTATTTGTAACTATATCATAACGTTTTATTTTACAATTTCAAAACTATTGAATTAGGAACATACAGGGTGTCTTCAAATAAGCATTTACCAAAAATTGAGCTTAAAAGAAGTTTGTACTTGTTTAGGGATCGTGAAAACAGGAAAACGCAGTTACAAATTATGTTTAGTATTATCTATTTCAATTTGTTTTTGTCATGCCAATAATGGATTTTAATATATGGATATTCTGTCGTAGGCATACTAAAATTAGGCATTTTATAAAACGTGGAGACATTATAAAAGGGAATTTAAAACAACTAGGTAACCAAAATCTCATATAATTTTACCTTCTTTGAGACTATCAAAACTTGTAATCTCTATCCTCCCACGGAGGTAGTAAATAATGGGATATGGGTTAAAATTTCAAGCAAAGTTGTATGGTTTTGCCCAATTTTTTAAGTTCTTTTTCGTAAAACCTCTGCTTTTTATAAAATGTATGGTTCTGGTACATGTCTACATTTACCACATCCAACATAAGAGTTTTACCTAAAGCGCTTAGTTTAGTTATGTTGGTTTTCGAATTATCAAGAAAATAAATCAAATAAATTTAATAATGAAGAAATAAAGATAAGGCAGGAAGAAAAACATCAAAATTCTTTGGTTTTGTAAGCTCTGTTAATTAATAATAATAATTATATTTTAGCTTGACTTTTTACAAACTAGATGGCAGGAAATATTCAGGAAACGGATATAAGGCGACCTTTAGGTACCAAATTAGTCTGATCAGTGATTAAGTTTATTTATTAATTTATCTTTTCATATAGATAGCGAGCAAGTATAGCTTTGACCATATCTTTAATTATATGTTAAATTAAGATACGTGTAACAGCTTTTTGCGAATTGCAAAATTTTACTTAATTCATGTATGATCCTAATCAATTATATAATAGAATTCTTCTGTTAAAGTTGGGTTTGATTAGATTCATACAGCTACGAAGGGAAAAGGCAACACGTGTGTAACTACCGAGTTGTTTAATCTGCAAGATTATCTATTTCACGTACTCGTCAAAATTGTATTTACTAGTACATGTATTAAGACACGATTTTGATTAGTATTTCATGAAATAGAGGCTAATTTTTACGCAATAGGTAATTACACGTATTAAGCGTAACACATACTTATAAACAATAGCAAAGTACAATGTTATTATAAACACAGCTTTGTATGATTACCTATTTCACGTATTCGTCAAAATTAAGATCCGATTTTGATTAGCATTTAGATGAAATCGACAAATCCATTACGTATTTCATGAAACAGAGGCTAATTTTTGCCAAATATCTTTACGTAATAGGCAATTACACGTATTAAGCGTAACACATAGTTACAAACAATAGCAAAGTACAATGTTATTATAAACACAGCTTTGTATGATTACCTATTTCACGTATTCGTCAAAATTAAGATCCGATTTTGATTAGCATTTAGATGAAATCGACAAATCCATTACGTATTTCAT